ATTAAAATTATATCTTTAAAAATATCAAAAGTTTATTCAAACAATGTATAAGACTTTAGCATTGCATACCTATTTATATTTGTAATATAATTGCAAATGTACAATAATCCTCAGGACTTGTGCATCGGTACCAAAGAAACATCCCCTTTTTTGTACTATTACTTTATGGTCCTAAGATGATAAATAATAGATAGTTGTATACCGTTTTAATTTATATATATTAAATCTATATTTATGATAATTTTTTTATATTTTCTACACTGTTTTTGCACTGGTATTGGAGTTGGCTTTTAATCTCATTGTAACATGTGTAAAGTGAACAATAAAGGCATTTCTACTTCTATTCTATTCTATTCTATTAATCGTACTATGTGCTTTTCTAATCCCTCTATAATATCAGATCCCTGTGCTTTGTGTGTGCTGGGTGTGGTGCGTCTCTCTCTCTCTCTCTCCAGGTAACCCATCACAGCCCACCTCACTGCACTACATGAGTCCGTACCAGATGAATGCATACGCCATGGCTCTGAAGGCTGTGGGGGAGATCATCCAGGACTATGACAGTGACAAACTCTTCCCCGCATACGGCTTTGGTGCTAAACTTCCCCCGGATGGCAAGATCTCCCACGCCTTCCCACTGGTAAGAGACTCTGATGTAAAATCACTGAGAGAGAGAAAGAAATGGTAGTGCGCAAGTACCATTTTGTGATATCGGGTAGGTGCCTCTGTTAGGGACTGAATACTAACAAAACTTTAGCTGATGATCTGCAATAGCAGAGAAACAAGTTTGCCAACTTCTTTTTTTAAAGGTTTTATTTGTGGCTGACTTATGTCAGCTCTGACTGGATGTGAAATATGTCCATCTGTCAGATGGAAGGTCTTTCTGGCCGCTGATGTACAGCCCACTTCCAGTTTAAGAGGGGAAAAAAAAGATTCTGTAAGTAATTATAATGAGAAACTTTCTCAATATTTTGACCTAGTAGTATCTAGACTTAGTATCAAAATATTGAGAAAGTTTCTTATTATTTTGAGATACTAAGTCAACAACAGCAGGCAGTGGTTTCTAGCAAAAAAGCTCAGAGAGCAGCTAAACAGGCAATATCTTACACATTGCTCCTTTAATCAAATGACTACAATCTAATTCAGTGGTTCCCAACCTAGGGGTTGTGACCCCACTAGGAGTCGCCAAAGCTTTATGGGGAGTTGCAAGGCGTCTTAATTTTAATGCATGCTATAAAATGTTAAAAATATACACAGTATGCCTATATCTCAGTATCTGGTTCACCTCTGTGAAGAAAAGTAAATGTAATGTAAATTGTCTAATAGAGCAAAAGAAGCCTAGTAAGCCTGCATGATTGTTAAAAATAATATAGTACATAATATAGACAGAGATTGTATACATTTTCTCAAAACAGGAAATAATTCATCATAATTCATCATAATTCACTTGGGTTCATTGTACAGTTTTGAATATAATATGAAATATCCATAAAATATGTCACTAACTCAGGGGTCGTCACTTTACTAAATGATAGGAAAGGGGTCCTTTGAGTGAAAAGGTTGGGAACCGCTGATCTGAATTTGATTGTTTTTGCACTCAGTTAAAGGTTGCCTACATATTGGGTGTGGATCCCCATTTTGTGTGTTCACGTGCAGGCTCACAAGGACACAATGTACTGAACCACACGCAGCAGCTCAACCCAGGACAACTTGTTAAGTCAATGAAAGGACAGGTTACATAAACCCACAAGCGGCGCTAGGCATTGTGGAGTAGTCTTGTGAAGTGGATGACTGAGGCAGAGGAAAGGAACAAGAGGTGGGAGGAAGAAAACATTGTGAATCACGCTGCATGTCGAGAGAAAAAAGTTCATCTGTTTGATGGTACTGGAGTGATGGAGGAAGAATAGAGAGCAGACAGACAGACAGACAGACAGACAGGCAGCAACACAGAGAGACAGTTTGATGAAGCTCCACTTAGCTTATTATTGTCAGCCAATAGGATGGCAACAATAGCAAAATGAAATAATAATTACTTATCCTTGGATTCCAAACCACTGTCTCCCTGGACTGTTACTTTAGAGGGAATGAGGAGAAAGTGGGTGTGAGAGGAACATAAAAAAGGAGCTCTTGTCTTATATTTGGTGCTGTGCCAAGGCTGCGGGATGAGATTAGTTTTTTTTTTTTTTTAAGAAGAGGATAATATGGCCAGATCCTTTTATATGGGTGTAAAGATCTCAATGACACACCTCAGGCCTTTCATTAGTGGACTGGAGACATTTTTTCTCTGACCTGAAACTGTCGTTCTCAATCCAGTTTGTCAAATCCCACGATCCTCCTGGCTTCCTCCCAGTCAGAAGTCAGCGGCGGACGAGAGCACCGGCATCTGGCCTCGTCTAGACTCATTACTTTGTGTAACTTTCCGTGTGAGCGGCCACCCGATTGGCTTTCCCAATTAGAGTTCACCTTGGCGTGACAAATCCCAGCCCAGCTCATGCTAAGGCAACTCTAATTAGGAAACTATTGTTCGGAAGCTGCTTGACTTAATCGAACATAAAGTTTTAGTATCTTGCCTCATAATATGGCTCACGTAGGACAGTTCATCAGTATAGTGTGATAATAATATGTGCAGATGTTGTTTTCTATAATTAGACGCATCCCTGGTTTGGATAAAGGTCAGAATAATTATTTAACCAGCAGCACTTGTATATACTAACTTCTAATAAAGAACATATGAACATGTGCAATTTTAAATAACTCACATTTGCAACAAATTAACAGTCAGTGTAGCTTGAAGCTGTCTCTCCTAAGGACATTTGATAAAATATTTGTCTTTTCTGATCGTTAGTTGACACTACTCCAGAGGTCCTCCCTGTTAGCGCTTAATTAGCACCAGCTTCTGAATCTGTTTTTGATGCTTTAAAGAAATCCATATTATTAAACAAAAACTTCAGCCTCAGAGGAAATAATTAAAAAGTAATCTCAGAGAGAGGGAGCAGAAAGCCTCAGAGCGTGCACGTGAACGTGCCTGAAAAAATCATAATTAGCTGTCATGTCACTGCGAAAGAAACACATACACAAGGTTGTTTTTTTTTATATAATGTGTAATTGTTTGCAGAATGTGGTTGAGATCTGGTGATACGTAGTGGTCACTGTCATGCTCTGTGGATGGAGGTACGCTGTGTTCATGTTGGATAATTCTACTCTGTTAAGCACGGGAATGTTTTCCTGCAATCTGAATATGGGTAATACTATGCAAAGAAAATCCAGCCTTTACCATAACAGAGCCACCAGGGACCTTAACTGTGATAAACAAACACTTAAGCTGCCTCGATTTCACACTTTGCACTAATTCTATTCAAGTTTAGAGTCTGAAGTGCCTACATAGTGGGAAAAAAACCCAAAATGGAGCATATTCAAAAATGCCAGCATGGAGATTTAATTTGCAATAAAATGCAATGCAAAGCAGAAATGGAGGAGCTACTCACAGCTGTACGCATTGTGGACAGGATTGGGACAGCTCTGCTCATACCAACAGGTTGAAAAACACAATTAAGTATGTATGTCATGGAAAAACTCACTATTTGAAAATTGCATACCATGTGTAATGTTGAATTTCCTGTTAGTGCAACATTTTCAAATATTTCTTGTATGCCAACTGCCAAAATAGTAGACTGTATTACATTAATACATATATGCAGTGTATATTTGTATACAGTAACACATTTGGGGGGGCCATGTGTTCACGCCACAGACTAAAGACAGGGTTCCCACTCTTCAAGAAGTCCAGGATATTTTCCAGTTTTTCTTGACAATCCTGGACAGTGTTTTGCTCACACCCGCAAACTATACTATGGCTTTCAAGGGAGCTCACTTTTTCTACTGTTACAGGGGGATATATTTTCTATTTTTCTAATATATATTTTATATTTTTTTATGATATTGTGCTGCCATGTTTCAATGGTGATAGTAAGAATAGCAGTAACTTTAAAAAAGGGAATTAGTGAAGAATCACCCTTGTGCACAAATCATACACCGACAGTAGCCCAAGGTCTCCTCGTTAAGTGTTACAGATGCTAGACTTACCATCCAAACAGTCGATTTTATTCTGACTGGCAAAAGTTTTCCTCAATTTTTAATGATGATTTCATTTTCTCTCGCAACTTCATTGCAAAAAATGCCTAAAAACATAATTAAATTCATCACAATTTTCTAAAAAGGCTGTGGTGGAATCAGATATTTTAGGCCGCAACAATCCCCAAAAAACCCCACAAAATCCTGGATTGGCCGATATTGTCAATATTTTAGAGACTCCCCAAAATTTCACAAATCATGTTTTCAGGGAAGCTCATGTGTTAGTAAGACAGACTCCCCTGTACACTGTACACACCCTGCTCACATAATTTATGGGACACTCCATGTTAGCTTGCTTTCGTGGTGCACTTGGCTTTTCTCACCACAATCGATTTTTCCACTTTCCAAATAGACCTTTTTCACATCAGCCATTTAGACATTAAATAGTGAGGTAAAACACAGGTGTTACCAATGATACTAATTAAGGCTCCATTCCATTTAATATAGCAAAGCCTTTCCAGTGAACCAACACACCCCCTAACTCTGTTTGACCTGAAGGGAGTGTAACCTTAATTGGTAATACCTGTGTTTACCCTATTTCATGTCAAAATGGCTGTCAAAAAGGTATATTGACCAGAGCACAGGCTAAAATCATTGATTATATCCAGGATATTTGGTCATTTTAGATCAATTTCCTGGGGGTCTCATTTTATAAAACTGTGCGTCGCTGGGATCGTTACTAAAAGTGTACGTACGGCCCAAAAGCCAAGTTTTGCGTGCGCAAAAAATATTCAGATTATAAACCCTGCGTACGCACACCTGTAAGCAATCTTTCTTTATAAATACAGAGTGCCTACCAAATGTCGCAGTTGAATCAGCTTTTACGTTCCCCCTGTACACGCCCCTTTTTTAACCATAAATTGGTCAATGCAAACGACCTCATGAATGCCGATCTGCATATAAACACAGACTCAGATGCAAGTATGTATGTCTTGTCGGAAACAATAGCAGAAGACTGAGAAAAGCAAAAAAAGAAAAAAAAGAAAATTTTCACGGGAGGTTGAAGTGGAGACACTTGTTCGGGTGAGGTGGAGGCCCGAAAAGTAGTTTTGTTCGCGGTCACGGACTGGGATCATAACAAGAAAAAGCAGAGAGAGTGGCAACATGTTGGCTGCAGCAGTGAACTCTGTCAAGTGGCACGGAGCGCACAGTCCCAGAATTAAAAAAAAGTGGTTGACACGTAATGTCTTGAACATAACCCCTTTTTAATGCCTGGATTTTGTCATGAAAAGCATCAAGAGGAACGGACAATAATATAACGATTGGTGCTGAGGAGTTTGTGGCTGGTTTTCCACCACTTGGGATTTAATTGACATTGGATTTATGTGTTTACAGTGTCATATAAAAATAATTGTATTGACCACATGTTGGACAGATGCTTTTTTTTTTTATCCATGCAGTCGCGCCGTCCTCTCCTCCTCCTGCGCAGTGGGACAGTATGGAGTGACGGGATTAAATATAGAGAATTTAGATTTTGAATTTTCATTTCGATTCTAAGGAGATGTTTTCGGAGTAATAACTGAGAAAAACGCCAGTTGACTTAAATCATTCTGATTACATAGATTTACGCATGATACGGGTTGAAATTAAACTTATGAAGGACGATGATAAAACATAATCGTTCTTCTACTCTACATTTCTTCAGTCTGACTTCAGTTCACCACCACACCGTCTGTGTCGCCAATTCTCCTTTTCCTCCAAACCATGCGTACCATGTGTCAGAGTTTGCTTAGGTGCGCACATTCTCCAGTTCAAGTTTGCTTTTATAGTATTCACAACCTTTGGCGTGGAAATCACTTACGCATTTCAGCCCCGTTTTGTGCGTACGCAACGGTTATAAATGAGACCCCTGGTCTTTCTATGACTGCAAAACTACTCTTTAAATTTCCAGGTTTTTAAGGACGCGGGGGAAAAGTAAAACCTCATCGGGCCCTCTATATGGGGGTTGTCAGGTCTATATTGTAGCTCAAGTAACGTCTATCCTATAGAGAGATCAGTGATACATTACATAGATACTGCATTGGATATTTCATTGATTGTCACGTTCAAGGCAAGATAAAGGATATATTCTTGCAGATGACAGACTGAATAGTAGGAGGTTTACCATTTACTTTAGACATCCTATCATATAATCAGAATAAATTAGTCCTCCCTTAATGTTGCGTGGAATAAAATGTGTGCTTATTCCAGGCTTTATGAATCTGCTTCATAAACGTACAGAGACAAGGGGAGGAAGGAGAGACACTGCAGGGAAATAACAGAAAGAACAGTTTCACACAGGCACACTCCCAATGACATAAATAAAGGGTTGCCAGTGAATGATTTGAAGCTAAAATTAGCAAGTGAACAATGGTCTATTATTTTTATTGAGCCCATTGGTGTTATTTGCCAGAAGGACCTTGTATGAAGTACTAGAGCACTTTCTGTGGCCCTCAAGTTCATCATATTAAATCAACTATCTCAGAGGTGATGCATAATGTAAGAGAACATTAATATGATTTTGATAATCTTTATTCTCCAGAGAGACTAAGTGAAGTGTGTTTCCAAATATACCCACAGCTTTTCAAAGCAGCGATCAGGAACAGAAAACGGATAACTTGGCTGGGTTGAATAGATGGATGGATGTGTGTTGCGGTGATGAATAGAAGTCAGTATTTCAAAGGGTGAAAAGGAATCAGACAATTTAAGGGTTAAGATGTCAATTATTCCTGAATTTTTTCAAACTGAGAAATGTTCTTTTTCTACTGCGATATATCTTCTTTTTCACAGAAGATCAAAGAGCTTTTCACAGGTTTGACACATGCTTGTCTAAATGATACAGTCTTAAGAGCTGATTCAGACGAGTGCAACTTCTATACACAAGGTCACAAGTGACATTTCACTTGTAATTCGTGCAACTACTGAGAATTCAAGGCACATGTGGTTTTTGGACATAAAAAAGTATCTAACACACTCAGTGACAACTTAATTATGTACACCTCTCCTTTTCCACCAAGGCAGTTCCAGGGTTGGTTCGGAACCAGTGCCTAATCTCGAACTAGTTCCTTGTGTTTCGAAAGCACTTTTCTACAAAATGAACATCATGCTGTATGGAAGGAGTCTGAAACTAGAGACTGAGACCATAAACTAGGAAACTGTTTACTAAGCTAATACATCAAGTGAGAAGTCGAGTCATTTTCCTAAGACTCAATAATACTGGGCTTCTTTTTGGAGTCAGTAGAGCTGCCCCCTGCTGGCCATTAGAAAGAATGCAACACTTCCACATTGGTTTCACTTCACAGACCCAAAGGCCTGTCCACTAATATAAATCTTTCATGAAGAAGGAAATGTACTCAAAGCCAAATGAGGAAACACATAACCAATACATTTGCCGTGTCCTTCACAGGACTTCAAAAGTCAGGATTCAGAGTTTCATGTAGTATCTATGTGTGTTTTGTTAACCTAAAAAAGAAAACGAAAAGCCATGGACCTGAAAGCAAAGCAGCAGTGTTCCGTGGAGGAGTCCAACTCCTATTTTCATTGTGGTCCACAGAATAAACGAGGACGAAGCCGGTGTCCAAGCAGATACAGCGCAAGATGCTGCAGCGGGGAGCTTTCTCTGTGTCATGGGTTAAATTAAATGAGCTGTTACTGAGAGGGTGCCCACCTGTTGACCCTATAAAACACTGCACTCTTTCATTCCAGGTTTAAGGGACTTGATTCTAATACCAGGGGGGTTTCTGATTAGTGGCAATTTGTAACACGATTGTAACTTGGAAACGGATGGCCACTATTTCTCAAACAAAAAACTACTGGGTTTCCTTACAATAGGTTCAATGTCTTTTTCTCTTTCAGAACTCAAACACAGAAAACCCGAACTGTGTGGGTATTGATGGTGTACTGGAGGCTTACTTCCAGAGCCTGCGAACTGTTCAGCTATATGGCCCAACCAACTTTGCTCCTGTCATCAACCAGGTGGCTCGGTAAGAGATACACACACACACACACACACACACACACACACACTACATTTAATTATGGACGAATGTGTATACATGTCACATAATCATGCACTTGTATACACACACAGACATACCTTCATATACACTTGTACATAATGTCTCTCATACATAAAATCTGCAAATTTCAATGTGTTTCATATGCATGTGTTATCTTGTGCCATCATGAAAGGCCAGCTGTTTTTGTATGCAATTCATGAATACAAATACAGAAAATATCTGAGGTGACTTGATGGCAGAAAGCAGGAGACATGATAAGCATATCATAGAAACTGTCTGTCTGTCAATCATCCCTGTCTCTGTAGAGAAATCACAGTTTAGGTTCTATGTTTTCTTGCAGACATTTTCAGATTTTAAAGGGCCCCTGTGCCAGTTCTCTTGTAAACGAACAAAAACAATGTTTACATTCAGTGTTACTCACAAATCCCTTGCCAGCTAACCAAGTGTAAATTAATTTTTTGGGAACCAGAAGTTACCATTTTTGGATGAGAGCATGCAGCTAGTGGGTGATGTACTGTGACATGGGCGACACTTGGTTTTAAAGACAGAAATAGTCAACACAGTAACAGAATCTGGATCCATATCTGATCAACACTGCCTAGTTTGACAGTTTGACTCTGAGTTCTGGTGGTTGAGTCTGGCGGACTCACCAAGAATGACTGGTCATCAACACAGCGTACGGCCTCACCAAGCATACCCTGCTGTATGCACTATTATACTCTAAATGGGACCATAATTGGGACCATTGGAGTCAGTAGAGCTGCCCCCCTGCTGGCCATTAGAAAGAATTCAACACTTCTGCATTGGCTTCTCTTCACAGACACAGACCAGTAATATATACTGTCAATGGGTCTAACAAACAAGTCAAGAGCACAGGTGATGTGATTCACAGTCCTACCACTGGTTTCTCGCTACACTGATGTACAGGTGGCAGTAATACAACCAAGAAATGCAGCTATGTACCTGCAAAGACTGGGAAGAAAAAGACTGACAGCAATGAATTAAGTTAAATTAAAAATCTCCTTAGCAAATCTTTTATGAGGAAGGAAATGCACTCAAAGCCAAACAAGGAAATACATCAACAATACTTTCACAGTGTCCTTCACAGGAGTTAGGATTCAGAGTTTGACCTGTCTCAAGACTTTTGTGACACGTAGGACATGAGCTCCCATTAATAGATGTACAGCTCAGCAGCAGATGACTTCTCCTTGACCCCTGCCAGCACGGATCATCACAAACACTGGTGCTTCCAGCATGAAGCTGTATTCAATTCCAGTGTTTTGTGGGAAGAACAGAGTAATAAAAGTATTCAGGGTGCTCCACACAAAGCTCCTTAGTGTCACCCTAAAGGTTAATGAAACCCTGCACTGTAAAGTATGGCAACCCCCAGTGCTGGGGGCTTAGACTCTTCCTTGAATTCTTAATTTCAGATTTTTGCTGCTTCAAAACCTGTGACCGTCTGACCTCTCTTGTTACTGGCTACATTTGACTTATTTTATTCTAGGTATGCTGACCAAATCAACACAAATAAGGAATTACATTGGAAGTCCAAATTACCTTTTAGGTTTAGGCAACTAAAACTACTCAGTTGAAGCTAAGATGGTCATGGCAAACAATTAATTGTTGAGGTAAGACAATGTAAGTCATTGAAAAATTCACAAAGGAAACCAACACTTAAGGCCATTGCACACCAAGTCCATTTTTTCATCCGAAATTGCACCTTAAATTGCAAATAAATATGACCTCACATTGTGTCACTCATGTTTACACACCTACTCTGAAATCTTGTCCGTCATTAAAGTTTTCAAGACAGGTTGGATTTTGTGCGTTTTTTCGCACCAGAGTGACAGCACACAGGCAGAGAGGGGGGACAGCTCAGCCTCTTTTAGCCGCGGTGCCGAATGCAAGATGAAGGCAGAGAGTAGAGACAGCCTGCGGAGGAACCTCCAGTAGAGAGAAGCAAGGGAGGAAATGAGAGAGAAAGAGAGAGAGACAGACAGACAGCTCCTTCATGAGCAGGTCAAACTCTTCTTGTTCTTCACACCTTGGACCTAATTACTTTTTCTTTTTCTACTATCAGTGAGAGGATCACAAAATCATCCTCATTGAATTCTAATATTGTGAATTGTGAAATTTTGCAAAAAATAGAATTAAAAAACGCATCGGACTCGGACCTCGGGGCGCGAAAGGCTTCTATGCTTAAAAATTGTATTATGATGATGGATTTTTTTTTTAAATATGAAAAATACGGGCTTGGTGTACAAAGACCTGTTGGTAGGACACAGGACACAAATGCTTAGTACGCCCACCCATTCACTATGAGATGCACACTCTTTGTGTCTCTTCACATGCTGTAGATATGACTCGCTGAAGACAACTGCTTTTGCACTCTATTTACTTCAGTTGTAGAATTTGAATCATTAACAGAAGCGTATTGGGAAGAAAAACTGACCTGGGAAATTTGGCTCAGACCAGTCCACCAAATCCCACCCAGTGATATACCACCAACCAACCACCACACACACAAGTACAGCAATTTCAACAAAAACTGTAAAAAGTAAGGTTCACTAGAACTTAGTACAGTTCCCATTTCTGTATTAGCATGAAGTGACTGCTAACATTTCTTACAAAGAGACAAAAAATGTCCACAAAGAGACAAAAAATGTCCACAAAGAGACAAAAAATGTCCACAAAGAGACACAAAATATCCACAAAGTTTCAGTCTGGGTGTAGCTGGGGTAGAGTGCCTTTATATGATATTGATATTGATGATATTTATATATGTGTTCAGGGGCCCTTTTTCTCATAATTTGTCCAAAGTTGTAGGCCATTTGGAGTTACAAAGAGCAGCTATTAATTCATATTTATTAGAATTTTTAAAGTTGTACATTTAGCATTTATTTATTACACTAAATAAACAAAGTAACTACTATATTAATAATGCTTAGTTATAACCAAGGATTAGAGCTTTAAATATCAATCATTATACATTTGTACTCATTTGACAAATGTGCCTCCATTCTTTCAAACTGCCCCCAGTCTTGTCCCCCATTCAGAAGTTGCCTGTGGCTCCTTTGCATTTTATTTTTGTGATTCATTCTTTGTATCACACATTTAATTCCTTATGCAGTTGTTTCATGTAGTATTTTTGAACCTTATACTTGGTTCACTTTATTATTTTAAGATTATTGTTTTATGAACTACCCTGCACCCAAAATGTAAGAGCTTCAAATATCATAATAGGTATGAGTAAGTTAATAAACCTTGTCTTCCTGCTGAACCCTGCAGCAGATCACCCTACAAGCTCTTTTTAAAAACACATAAAATTTCACCAATAAAACTTTCTTTTGGAGTGCAGCTGGTGTTAAGTTTTTAATGGATTTTGGCTGGTTATTACCTGCTATTGTATTTTTAGCAGCCATATGAAGCAATAATATCCTGTCCCAGTGAAGTGTGATTGTGGTTGCATAATCAAATAGAGTGTAGCAGTGCTGTGTCGTTCTGCTGTGGGATCAAGAGCTTCAAAACTCCATTCAGAGAGAGAACAGGAAACTTTCTTTCCTCGCTCAATGTTCTCGCACTTTTCTTCATGTCTCCCATCTGCTCTCCCGGCTTTCTCTGGTTCTTCCTCTTCTTTCTTTTCTCCCAATCTGTCTCTTCTTCCTCCTCTTGGCCCAGCACTTCCTGTTACTGCTCCTCCTCTTCATCCACCTCTTCTTTGTAGGTGCCATCCACGTGGGAGGTTTAGAGTAGTGATACAGACGAGGAGAGAGGGGAAGGAGGAAGATGCATGGTGTAATCCATATGTACATAAATATACACGGTTACATGCAGCTACTCTTGCCATCTGCAGTAACTTATTGGAACAAGGATCATATTATCACAGCCAATAAAAAAATATGCTGCTTCTCTCCAACAGTTAGTGTTGGTTCTGCAGTGAGGTCTTTATAACTTACCGTACAGAACATGTAGAAGCCCCTCTGGGAACATCGCATATAGCTGTGTTTTGATTCAGCTTCACACACCTGCGTCTGGCAGCTGCACACTGTGATGCATTAGAGTATTAGAGAATGTTGTAAAAAGAAAAAAAGCAGAAATGCTCACCGCACCCTTTATATTCATAGTAAAAAAATTAGAAACCAGAGAATTTAGCATTTTTTTCTTATTTAAAAATGACTCAAAATGATTGATTCATGTAAGTAGTGGGCGATTCATTTTCTATCAGTCATCGAAACACTTGAAATGTTGCTGTGTTGATTTATTTTCACCAAAAGTGCACCAAAATGTTAACTAAATCTGTTCCGTATTGGTGAATAAAGGAAATTACAAAAATATGTTTAATGTTAAAATTAGTGTGGAACCAGTTGACAAACTAGAATTATGTCTAACTAATTAGTAAAAAAGTGCATTGGATGGAAACAAATGTAAAATATGTAGCCCGTAAATATATTATTTAAGTCCATGCAACTTCAAAAAAATAAATAAATAAAAAATTGTTGGTTCAATTCATTAACAGAAACGTGCTACGGTAAGCGTATTGACATTTCGGTGGTTACTTCCCTGCCTCTGCTGTCACACTGTTTGGTGTTGTACCGCTTGTCTCAGCCTGTTAAACGCTAAAGGTACTAGACACTTCTGATTTACTCATTACAGCGGTTATACGCTTAACATTTAACGTAGACTAGTTCTACCACTTGACACTCGTAGCTAAGTTAGCTTCTTTCTTTTAGCGACTTTTCGCTATTTTCAAAGTTTTCACAACGCTAGTTACTATAAGCATTAGCAGTTAGCAATGGCTTTCCTCCCTCTTCCTCTCCTCTGTCTTGGCTCCATGTGCCAGATGTTAGCTATTCCTAAGCCTCTTTAATGATAATGGTACATGTATTAATGTAGTTTATTTAACTGCGCTGAGGCGCGAGGATTAGTGACTTAAGGCACGGTACCGCACCACTGAGATATCATTA